GAAAAATCACATGAACATCAAAACAGATGAAGAAGGAAGTGGGCTAAATATGTGGTATGTATTAAGGAGGACACTTGTGATGAGAACTTGATGTAGCATCTAAATGATGAATAACTAAAATTTACACCTGAAACTAATATTATACTACATGTTAACTAATTAGAATTTAAATAAAAACTTGGGGAAAAAAATGAAACAGATGCAGAAAAGTGCACCTGGCTGGCTCAGTCAGAAGAGCATACAACTCTTGATCTCAGGGTCATGAGTTTGAAACTCATGTTGGGTGTAGAAATTACTAAAACAAACAAACAAAACAAAAACAGATGTAGAAACAAAACAAACATTTAACAAAATGCCACACCCATTCATTATTAAAACCACCAAAATTGACAACTGATAGGAACTTCCTTAATTTGATAAAGGGCATCTAAGAAAAATCTATACCTATCATCATACTTACTGATGAAAAATTGAAATGTTTCCACCAAATATTGAGAACTATCACTATTCAATGTTGTACTAAAAGTTCCAGGCAGTTAAAAAAGGAAAAATAAAGAAAAGGTACAAAGATTGGAATGAAAATTATAAACCTTTATTTTTTGGCATATTCATAAACCTAGAAGTTCATAAGGAATCCACAAAATTGCTCTTCAAGTTATTAAGAGGTGTTAGTAATGATGCACAATGTTAGAATAAGAAAAAATTAATTATATTTTTATACAAATGCAAAAAAATGAAAATTGAAATTAAATAGTGTTTACAATACCATCAAAGGTATAAAGTACTTAGGGGTAAATTTAATAAAATATGGGTAAAATACTTTGTACTCTAGAAAATATAAAACATTTTTTAAGAAAATAAAGACCTTAAAACTAAAGAAATTACACTGTGGTTTAGGTTGGAAGACTCAATGTTGTTCAAACTGATACAGATTCAACACAATCTAAATCGATGTTCTAGTGGACTTTAAACAAAAAGAAATCAACAAACTAGTTCTAAAATCCGTATGGAGAGTCAAAAGGCATAACATTGTCAAAAGAATAAAGAATGTTGTAAAAGAAAAAAAGTTAGAGAACTTACACTATCTGACTTCAAGGTTTACTTATTATAAAATTGTAACACCAAGACAAAGTACACTCATGTAAAAAATAGTAAGTTCAATGAGACAAAATAGAGATTCTAGAAATAGACCTATGCATAGATGACCAATTGAGTTTGAACAAAGATGCTGAAGTAATTTAATGGAGAAAGGCTAGTGTTTCCAACACACAGTGCCAGAAGACTGGTTATCCGTATGGAAAACAGAAACAAATACAAAAGCATTAACCTCACCTTCAGCTAAGCAGCATGTAAAAATCATTCCCAAATAACAACATTTAAATATAAAAGCTAATATAAACATTTCTAGAAGAAAATTTTGGGGACCTTGGAGAAAGAAAGTTTTCTTAAAAAGAGTACAAGAAGTATAAACAATAGAAAGTTGACAAATTTGATGTCATCAAAATTAAAAACTGCTCTTCAAAAGTCACTATTAAGAAAATAGATAGGCAAATCATGAGCTTGCAGAAAATCTTCACCATACATATATCTGAGAAAGACCTATATTTACAATGTAATGATATGAAAATAAATCTAATTAAATTAAAAATTAACCCTAAATTAAATGGCAAAAATCTTGAGCAGACATTTTATCAAAGATATGTAAATGACAATAAGTTTATGGGAAAAAAATGCTGAAGCCAATTTGTTATCATGTAAATAGAAATTATAACCACAAGGAGATACTATTATACATCCACTCACATGGCTAAATGAAGACAATGCCAGGTATTGGTGAGGGTGCAGATTTGCAGAACCTGGGACCTCACATGTTGCTGATGGGAGTGTAAAATTGTACAACCCATTGGAAAATATTTATACAGTTTCTAATAGTTAAAAATATACTTATTATATGACTCATCACAAGCGTACTAAGTAATTTACCAAAGAGGAAAAAAATATACATCCATACAAAGACCTGCCATAACATTATTCTATAACTGGAAATCATGGGTCTGACAGATGATAGTAGCTATACAATTAATACTATGTAAAAATAAGAAATACATTCCTGATATATGCAACAATGTGGCTAACTCTGAAAAAACATTTTTTCTAAACAAATGACTCCAGAAATAGAGTGTTCATACTGTATGATTCATTTTGTATGAAATTTTAATCATAATGGCAGAAATTGGGTTAGTGGTTGCCTAGGACTTGGAATAGTGTCATGATTCACTGAGAGGGCACAAGACCATATTTTGGGATACAGAAATGTTCCAAATCTTTATTATGGAAGTGATTACACACAGGTATATATACTTTCAGGGATAGTTATACAGATGTATACCCTTAAATGGGTGTCTTTTGTTGTATGTACATTATACTTCAGTGAGGCTGATTTTTGAAATGGCTCTCAGTTAAATAACAAAGGTATGTGCATAAATAATATAGGAAATGATCATATTATATCACAGCATGCTCCTAAGATCATGAAGGGGTTACTCATTAAAAATTTCAGCCTCTATGCCATTTGATTCTCTAGTTTAAAAGAATCCAGGCCCATTTCAGTGCCAGGTTGGCTCCCATGGGAACCTGGGTTCCACGTCCACCCTTGTGAACCCAAGTTTCAGGCTGGTCCCTGGACAGAGGCTCCAGACCCACACTTGTGAACCTAAGCACCTGCCTGCCCCAGTGGACACTGATGACAAGCTAGTCCCCATGGACCCAGGCACCAGGCCTCCCTGCCCACAGTCCAAAGTAGAGGCCTACTTGTTCATGGGCTCTGGAAGCAGGCCTGCCCACCTTTTCTTACTGAAGCCTGTCTGTAACGACTAGAAAAGGTGATTATTTCTTCAAATACACAGATATCAATGCAAGATAACAAAAATCACAAATAATCAGACAAACATAGCATTATCCAAGGAACCAAATAATAACTGACTCTAAAGAAAATGAGATCTATGAACCACCTGAAAAATAATTCAGTATAATTGTCTTAAGGAAGCTCAAGAGAACACTTATAGACAACTAAATGACATCAGGAAATACTACGTAAAAAAAAGTGAGAAGTTCAACAAAGATATACAAATCATAAAAGTAATGACACAAATTTTGGAGCTGAAAAATACAATGATTGCAATGAAAAAAATCAACAGAGGCTTTCAACAGAAGTCTCAATCAAGCAGAAGAAAGAATAAGTGAACTCAAAGACAGATCACTTAAAATTACCAAGTTGATAGGAAAAACAAATTGACAAACCCTTAGCTAACTACACAAAAAAAGAAGAGATATATATAAACAAAATTATCAGTGAAAGAGAAGACATTCAATTGATACCATGGAAACAAAGGATCATAAGAGAATACTATGTAAGATTTTGTGCCAACAGATTAACATTTCTCTAATGAAGACATACAAATGGTAAACAGGTATATGAAAAGTGCTCACATCACAAATCACCATTTGCAAATCAAATCCACAATGAAATATCACCTGCTAGAATGGCAATTAAAAACAACAACAACAAAACTAAAAGTAATAAGTACTGATGAAATGTGGAGAAATGGGAACCTTGGTATACTGTTGGTGAGAATGTAAATTGGTACAGCCATCATGGAAAATAGGATTGAAGTTTTTCAAGAAATCACAGATAGAGCTAACATATGACCCAGCAATTCCACATCTGAGTATTTATCCAAAAGAATGAAATCATTGTCTTATAGAGATACCTGTACTCCCATGTTCACTGCAGCATTATTCACAATAGTCAGGATATAGAAACAAAGTGTCCATTTGTGGATGAATGGATAAAGAAAATGTGGTATATAGAGAGAGTGGAATATTATTCCACCTTAAAAAAAGAAGCAAATCCTGCCATTTGTGACAATATGCATGAAACTGAAAGACATTTTATCAAGTGAAATAAGCCAAAGAAACACAAATACGGAGTAATTCTTTTATGTATATAATTTTGAATAGTCAAACTCTTAGAATCAAACTATATAAAAGTGTTTTCCAGGGACTGTGGGCAGGGGAAAATGAGGAGGGGATGGTCAGAGTTTTAGTTATATAAGACAAATTCTGAAGGTGTATTATGCAACACAGTGACTCTAGCCACTGTACTGTGTACTAAGTCTATTCAGGCAGCTGTATCAAAATACCACAGACTGAGTAACTTATAAACAATAGAAATGTGTTTCTCTCTGTTCTGGAGGCTGGGAAATGCAAAATCAAGTTGTGAGCATGGCTGCATTTTTGACAGGGCCCTCTTCCTAATTAAATGGGGGCCTTCTTGCTATGTCCTCACATGATAGAAGGGACTAGGGAGTAATGGGGACTCTCTTTCCTAAGAGCAGTAATCCTATTTATGAGGGCTCTCCCTCAGGCCCTGATCACCTCCCAATGGCCCACGTCCTAATACCAACACATTAGGCAGTAGGATTTCAACATATGGATTTGAGGGGGGGCATGAACATTCAGATCATAACAATATTTAAAATTTTCTAAGAAAATAAATCTTATGTTAAGTGTTTTTTTACTACACCACCCAAAGTGATATTTATAATATAGAGGCTGGAGAAAACCAGGAGTGTTGGATAGATCTATCTATGGCCTTGATGGTGGTGATGGTTTCGTTTGTGTTTATATTCCTAAACTTATCAAGTTGTATATATTAAATATGTGGAACCAGCCTAAGATTCTCTCCCTTCCTCTCCCTCTGCCCTCCCCACATCCCCCCTACCCCCAACACACACACACTACTTGGGCTCTCTCTCTCAAAAAAAAAGAAAGAAAAAAAAATTACAACAATGATACAGTTGATTTGACAAGATCATAGTAATAGAAAGTACTAGTCTTTACCCAGCTTAGAATCTGTTTTCCCTCTCACATAACTCTTTTAATATGTGAAGGGAAGATGACAATGACATCAACATAAGAGGTAGCATTGAGAACATATCACACAGTCTTCTATCCTTATATTATGTTGACAGGTACTTGCATGGGGTTCTTTTCAGTGGGTAACAGTATATAGAACAGAAACTTCCACTTATCCAGGAATCATATGCCAATTGATCTCATTCTCCAAACTGGTTCTTGTGGCCTTGTTTTTCTCTTCTCCAGATGTCAGTGACATCACCAGACCCTTGTTTGGGTGAGTAATATGCACTATCAGCTCTTATTTCTCCCACAGTCATATTTATAAGAATTCAGGGAAATAAAAAAAATACATATTCATCAAGAGAAGATCAGCAATGTTACTTCTGATGACTAGTACAGTCCTTGCATTAGCTGCAGACCAGAAGTATGGGGGCGGGGGGCGCTCTAGAGCACAGAGGCTGTGCTAACAGTTTGTGAATTAGGCAGACTTAGGTTTGTGCCCTGGCCTCTGAGCTTCCTAGCTGTGTGATCTTCTGAGGCCTGCTCCATATTTCTGGTGAAAGTTCTAATACCTACCTTATAGTATTTTCTGAAGAGTCAAATAAATACAAAATGTGAAGAACTGACTGTAGTTCCCAGGACACTATTCAACATACAGTAGCTTTGATTACCATTATAATCTTATTAGGAATGAGGACTCCTGACCTATAATGTCCACAGACAGCTACAGCAATCGACAATTCTCAACCTTTGTGCCCAAGTTTTCTTCTTTCTAAAGTGGGGAATAATGCCTTTCCAATCTGACTGGGATCATTAAAAAGGTCAAATATAAAAGAACGGTAACTGTTGCCATGGGTGACCCACAATGTGCCCAATTATTTTGTGTTTGTGTTAGGAAGAAGCTTGAGAGTCAGAAAAAAGTAAAAATTTTAAATAACTTTGTTTTTTTTTTTTTTTTTTTGTAATTGGATGAGAGAATATTTTGGAGAAGAGTTTGTAATTTCATAACTGGATGGAAAAGTTGGTTAGGACAAAGAAGGTGAGAAACAGGATTCTAATAAAATTGGAATTAAAAATCATGGGTTATCATTAAAGCGTAAACAGTATTGAACTCCAGGAAATTATTGCTTAAGACTGCTAGGAAGTGAAACTCAGCTTGGTTCTTTTTTTGGCCTACTTGAACACACACACACACACACACACACACACACACACACACACACAGTCTCTCTCTCTCTCTCTCTCTTTCTCTCAATTCCATGTGATTAAGCAGTTTTGTGTCTGTCATTTTCAGCATGCCACTGTTTCCCAGAACTTGGGAAGGCTCTGAGGGATAGGGCTCCCCGGTTCTCAAGTGCTCCTCCTTGCATAACTCTGGTTTTTGAAGAGGTACGCCAGAGGTGAAGTGCAGTCGGTGTCATTTCCAGGATTTATGGGGAACCAAAATGCTTGAGTCAGAAGTTGCCAAGTACACATTTCACTTTGATTTAAAAGACACTTAATGCCCAAAATTGAAAAGAACGCAAGTGATTACTAATGAAATAGGCCACAGGAACCCACAGTTGAGAAGGAGCCCACTTGTCTGTGCAGCCGATGATGCTGATTTACAATTCGGTGACTAAAGCAGGCTCCTAAGAAAATGAGAATCGACTTTCTGAATTGATGATATTCTGTGACTGAGCATTGGATCTTCTTTGAGGGTGAAGAGGCAAGTGGGGCATTTTGATATCCTGCTGGAAAGATCATTTTCTCTAGCTGTACTATAAAGTTCTGTTCATACCCCTGACTTCAATGCCACAATAACTTGGCAAGAAGCTACAATGGCTCACAAATGGATGCTTATAGAGGCATTTAAATTGTCCAGGCTTCCTTGCAGCTTGTAGAAAAAGAAGGGGCGCATGGTTACTGTAAATGTGGACCTTTCCATTGAACGGTGATATATAAGACTGATGACTAATAAACATACCCTACATGGGAAACATTTGAGTGATGACATCTTTTTTCTTTCACCCTTTTAACTAGCCACAATGGCTGGGATTTTACTTAAGAAATATATGGGAAACAGACTAAGCCCCAAGGCAGATCACCCTGGCAGCTGTAGAAAGAGAAGGCTCTACTTTCCCATGCATGTTATCTGCATTTTTCTATCATTTTAACACCCATAGGGAGCTCAGCTTGGTCCTGTGTATGATGTACATTGAATGCCCGAGTCTCGCAGACAACAGCAGCTTCCCGCCCTGAGGGAAAAAAGAGATGGACTCTTTGGCTGTGGCCCTGAGGTACCCGCCATCAGCCCTACCAAATACCGTCTGGGTTTTTGGACAAATGTACTCGCCAAGGTTCCCAGGAATCCTGGAAACAATCCACCGTTAGGCCACCTTTCTTCCCGTGTCCCCAACAAGGAGGATGGTGGCATTTCCTTGATCCTCATAGGAGATTGATGACAATCAAATGACAAGACGATTGTGACTTTGCAAAACAAAGCAAAACGCAAAACGTCATGTTATTGGTTAACGCCACTTTAAAAGAAAGTAAGAGTTCTTTATACCCTCTCCACATGATTTGTTATGTCCAGTTACCTCGTTTTTGCCTGCAATTATCTATTTCTGTTGCAACATTAGCCTGATTTGCCATTAGACTCCATCATATCACTGAACATGTGGCTACTCTTTTGTCTACTCTGCTTTCTCTTGTGTTCCTGGGATTTTCCAAGATTTTTCTAAAGTAGTACATATAGAATTGTCCCATTCTTTTTTATTGAGCTATAATTTACATATAATGTTGTATTAATTTTAGGTGCACAACATAACGATGTGGTATATGGTATACATTGCAGAGTGTTTACCCAAACAAGTGTAGTTAATATCCATCATCTTACATAGCTACAAATTTTTATTTTCTTGTGTTCAGTACTTTTAAGATCTACTCTCTTAGCAACTTTCAAATATATAGTACAATATTGTTAACTATGGCCACTATGCTGTACAGTACATCCCCAGGAGTTACTAATCTTAACAGCTGCAAGTTTGCGCCTTTGACTACCTTTCTCATTTTCCCCACCCACCAGCCCCTGCCTCTAGCAACCACCAATCTGTCCTCTGTTTCTATGAGATTTTTTTAAGGTTACACATATAAGTGAGATCATATAATATTTGTCTTTCTCTGTGTGCCTTATTTCACTTAGTATAACACCCTCAAAGTCCATCCATCTTGTAAAAAATGTAAGGATTTCCACTTTTTTGTTTTTAAGAGAGAGAGACCACATGCACTAGCAGGGGCTAGGGGCAGAAGGAAAGGGAGAGAGAGAATGTTAAGCAGTTTTTACGCTCATATGGGGCTCGATCTCATGACCCTGAGATCATGACCTGAGCTGAAATCAAGATGCTTAACTGAGCCACCAGTTGCCCCAAGATTTCCTTTTTATGGTTCAGTAATATCCCATCATATATATCATATGATATATGTGTGTGTAGGTATGTATATATATGTATATATGTGTATATATTTGTAAATCAAGCCCATATATAATATATATTATGTATTTATATTATTATAATAATGCTGCAATGATATGAAAGTGAAGATATCTCTTTAAGATAGAAATTTCATTTCCATCAACTGTATACCCAGAAACGGAATTTCTAAATCATGTGGTAGTATTATTTTTAATAATTTGAGGAACCTCTATGCTGTTTTCCATAGTGGGTGCACCAATTTACATTCCCATCAACAATGCACAAGGGTTCCCTTTTCTCCACATTCTTGTCAGCCCTTGTTATCTCTTCTCATTTTGAGGACAGCCATTCTAACAGGTGTGAGGCAATATCTCATTGTGGTTTTGATAGGAGTTTTCCTGATAATTAGTGATATTGAGCACCTTTCCACTTATCTTTTGGCCATTTGTATGTCTTCTTTGGAAAAATGTTAATTTAGTTCCTCTATTTTTTCATGGGACATTTTTTTTGTTTGTTTATTTTCTAGAGGGTTGTAAGAGTTCCTTTCATAGTTTGGGTATTAATCCCTTATCTATATATGATTTGCAAATGTTTTCTCCCATTCTGTACGTTGCCTTTCATTTTGTTGATGAATTTCTTTACTGTGCAAGAGTTTTCTAGTTTGACATAGTTTGACTTCTTTATTTTTGCTTTTGCTGCCTTTGCATTTGAGGTCAAATCTAAAAAAATCATTGCCAAGACCCATGCCAGAAAAAGATCCCCCTTATGTTTTATTCTAGGAATTCTATGATTTCAGGTCTTACATTCAAATCTATAATCCATTTTGAGTTGATGTTTGTCTGCGGGTTATGATAGGAATCCAGTTTCATTCTTTTGCATGTGGCTTCCCAGTTTTCTTAGCACCATTTATTAAAGAGATCATCCTTTATTGTTTATTCTTAGCTTTTTGTTATAAATGAATTGCTCATGTATGTGTAGGCTTGTTTCTGGGCCCTCTATTCTATCCTGTTGATTTATGTGTTTATGTTTTAAGCCAATACCATACTGTTTTGATTACTATAGCTTTGAAAGATGTTTGAAATCAGTAAGTGTGGCACCTCCAGCTTTGCTCCTTTTGTCCTCAAGATTGCTTTGGGCATTCAAAGGTCTTTTATAGTTCCACACAATTTTAGGATTGTTTGTTCTATTTTTGTGAAAAATGTCCTTGGAATTTTGATGGGGATTGCATTGAATCTGTAGATTGCTTTGGGTAGTATGGATATTTTATCAATATTAATTGTTCCAATCCATGAGCATGGAATATCTTTCCATTTATTTGTGTCTTTTTCAATTTCCTTCATCAACGTGTTATAGTTTTCAGTATATAGATCTTTTCATTTCCTTAGTGAAATTTATTCTTTGGGTATTTTATTCTTTTTGATGTAGTTATTAATAGATTTTTTTTCTTAATTTTTGTTTCTGATAGTTCATTGTTAATATATAGCATCACAACTAATTTTTGTGTGTTGATTTTGTATTCTGTAAGCTTAATTCATTCATTTATTAGTTCTAACAGTTTGGGGTGGGTAGAGGAGATTTTTCTTTAGAAAATTAAATAACTTGCTTAATCTTATTTCCGTCCATTCTCAAAACTAAGTTAGATGAATTTAAGCACACAAGTAAATAATTCCAATTTTCTGGATTCTTTCTTCCTCTTGCTTTTCTGCTACTGGAATCTGTCTCTTTAGAATAAAGAAGAGCATATACCTACATAAGGATCTGGTCTTTCTAAGGCCGCATTATTATTAGAGAAGGGAAAGGAAGTATTTCTCTGCTCAGATATACAGTCCTCTTATAGCAACATGAATACAAAATATGCACAGATGTCGAGTATCTCAAACTCTATGGACCTTCTTATTTTACTTTCACTGTACGTAATTCCAGGTAGCTCCAGGATCCAGTCTTCTGAGAACTGAATGGAAGATGTTGAGGTCAGCAATATTTAACATGACCAACAGGTCATTTTAAGGACTAAGTGCTAATCCCATGATCAACTCAAAGAATGATGCTGTCCCCTCTGTCTTTCCTTTGATCCCATTTGTTGCTAAGACCAACATGCATTTAGAATCAAGATTGCCTATCTAGGATGATGTAGAAAAAGAAATTACAAAGTAACAAACTTAAAAGCTCTTGCTCCCTACTCTCCACTCCCCATCCTGCCCAACTACATAAACATTAAAATACTATCTAGACATACTTCATCATGAGCCTTAAGAAGGTATGTTTCTATTGGCAAACAACTTCCTAAACATCACTGCACACCGATTAGGAAAAAATCAGGATTGATGAAAACACAAAGGTAAGATTTGTTCTAGATGATTAATTCTTCTGTAATTTCTTCCAAGAGCCCTCGACCCTCAACACACACACACACACACACACACACAGTCTCTCTCACACACACACCCCTTTTTCCCTTAAATAAATAATGAGCTTTGGAAGTCCTTTAACCTTTTTTTTTTCTTATAGACATCATTCTAAAGGAATATAGAGACCCATGTATTCTGTAAGTTTATAAAAGTTCCGAGAAAGGAGTCACTCTGGTGCGGTTTCAGCCCTCCATGGAGCAAGTTTCTTTATGGTGAGTATGACAAAGGGCAGGCTGTGCTGCAAAACTGCCAGCCGTCTCTGTGTTCAAGAACCTTCTCTCACTCTTCTCGATTTGACATGAAATATTAAACACCAGTTACCAGCAAAAAGTTATTGAACACAGATGTCCACTATCACTTTCAAATTGCTGAAGTCAATTTGGGTTTATATATTTTCTTTACTTTAGCATTCGCATGCAACGCAAATGTTCTATGACAGTAATGATTTCACAATATACCCTTTCAATTAGGAAAGCACATCGTGTATGTGTTTTCAGTTTTAAAATGCCTATTTTTTCATTCAAAAGCTCTGTGTCCCTCACTAAAAATGGGATGTGGGATCGAAACATAAATAAAAAGAAAGAGCTCCACCTACTGATTCATTTTAAAAACCTTTTTCTGCTCTCAGGTTGAATTGAAAATGCTTTGGCACAACAGGGATTTTGTGAGCATGTAGCTCAAACTGGTTTAAAAAAAGAAGAAGAAAGATACGGGAGTTGCCCCCATGGAAAGGACTAGACTAGAAAGGAGCTCTGTCTCTGTAACTGAAAGAGCCTCCTTCCCCCACATTTTCTGTGCCCCTCAGAAGCCCTAATTAATAAGTCTGCTTCAGGGTTAGTGCTCCCCAGGGATATGGGTTTAACTGTGGCATTCCCTTTTGCTGGATTTAACAGAATCCCGACGGGTCACACATTTTGCTCCACTACAATAATTGTATTCATGTCACTGACTGCCTTTTCCTTCTGAAGGACTTGGTGGGCCCTCTTTGAAAGGATTTACAGGGCCATGTCTCCCACGGGTGAGACTGGAATTGTTTAGCACCTACCATACTACTCCCCTGGCTCAACCACTAGACTCAAGTGATTTCAAAGAGGAAGTGAAGAAAAACATCCACTGGGAACCTGGGGGTAATTTAAGGAGGCTAAGAGTAATTACTTGAGGAGGAACTGCTGTGCCAGTCTCCTGGGGGCAAGGGTTGAGAGACGCAGCTGGAACGGTGGCTCTCTGTGACGCCTGCCAGCTCTCACCCTGTTACCTCTGTTGCTGAGAAGCTTCCAGAACCATTTTTAATTCCTTCCTTGGAGCTTCTTTTGCGAAGAGTGAGTTCCTGCGAGTCTCCCATTATGTGTCAACCCAAGCAGCTTCCTGGGGACACAGAGAGATGTGACTTATTGGGAGGAATATCCTGGCAGCTTTGAAGGATCATAATGTTCTGTATTTTAGGTACCCACTGCTTCCAGCTTGGACCCTGCTTCCTGGACTACACAATTTCTCTTAAGAGGAATAAACGCCAGGCTGTATTCATCTCGTACATTTGAGCAGTGGCTATAGAAAATATTACCAATGGGTAACAAGATGATATCTGGAAACACACAATGGAGTAATTTAGATTAAAGTCTCCTACCTTTGAATCTGTCTGCTCAGTCATGCATTCCTATAGACATGATTAACTAACCATAAGACCCAGGAATTCAAAGTCTGAATAGAAAATGTCTATTCTTCCCCCAAATGAATCACACATCACCTATCACTGCAGAGTTGCCAAACTCTATGGTTTTCTTGTCAAACATAAATTCAATAGCTGACCAGAGCCAGGGACAGAAATTTCTTATAAATCAAATAACTACATACATTAGAGGGAGATGCAGGGGACCCACTGCCACATTTCAGTCAATCAAAAATATATGTAATGAGTGTCTACTGTGTTAAGGTACTGTGCTTGGTGTTGTGAGGGTATTTAATGAAATATGACCTGGCCCTAAACCTCAAACAACGAAACACCTACCTCACTTTGAGGCTCTGAGGATTATATGCAATTACCTAGCACAGTGACTGGCACATAGTCGGCGATAGGTAAATGGTCACTAATATCATTACTAGTAATGTAACATAGTGTTTAGGTAATATTTAATAGATACATAAATGGAAGACTGTCACATGACTGAATGGCGACCAAATGGTTGACTCAGTCATGAACTGTACTGAGATCAAAAGAAAGGGGAATTCCTGGAGTCTAAAGTGGGTGAGATAGTTTCATGCAGATGATTTGAGCCCTAATTATAGTTTTTTGGAAGTTCATTAATGTCTAGGCAGTGGACTGATCAATTGACCATTTTATCTCTTTTTTACTTTCACAGTGAAGGGATGTAGATATAATCACCTTCATTTTACAGATAAGGAAATGGGGTTCTGGGAAGCTAAGTAACATATTTCATGTTGCAAAGGCCTGACACTAATGCTGATGGCTTTTCTGCTTACCCAAATGGTTGCCATCATAGAATTAAGACTGTTAGAGCTGGAAATGCAGAAACCATGCTGTCCTGATTGTTCACCTGGTAGATAAAGAAGCAGAGGTCCAGGGAAGAAAAGTGATTCACCTAAGTTCACACACCTGGGTAGGGATGTCACTGGAATTAGAAACTGAAGCCCTGATTCCAACTTGGTGCCATTTCCACTACTTTTTCCAAGTATTTTTCAAAATTTATCCTAAGTCAGTAGCACTTTTTATGTACAAATATAAAAAGATTATGCTCAGAGAAATCTTTGGTCTCCAAGTCAACTTTACAACACCTCTCTTCTCTGCTGAGTAGGCACTTAATGATTTCCTGTTACTGAGAAATCATGCTCCGCCTCATATTGCACTCAGCTCCATTACACACACACACACACACACACACACACACACACTTATACTCACACTCAAAATACATACACTGTTTTTATTCAGAAAGTATAATGCAGGCTAAGTTCATATGCACATCTGAAGCTTCTATTATTATTATTTATTTATATTTATTTATTTGTTTGTTTTTTAGAGAGAACATGAGAGGAGGGAGGGGCAGAGGGAGAGGGAGTAGGAGAATCCCAATTAGGCTCTACATTGAGTGTGACAAAGGGCTGGATCTCCTGACCCCGAGATCATGATCTGAGCTGAAACAAAGAGCTAGACCCTTAACCAACAGAGCCACCCAAGAGCTCCTTGAGGGATCTATTTAAGCCTGGCCTTAACCGAACCGTCCTGTCTTCAAACTCATCTTTCAGCAGAATTTGGAGCTGATCTGTCTCTTGGAATTGTATCATGTAGGACAAATATGGCAAATATCTACTAATTATAGATGCTGTGGTTGGAATGTTCGTTCTACACACAAATTTATCTGTAAAAATCCTACTCTCCACACTGATGGTATTGGAAGTTGAGGCCTTTGAGAGGTCGTGAGGGTGGAGGCATCCTGAATGGAATTAGTGCCATGCAAAAGAGACCCCACAGAGCTCCATAGTCCCTTCCAGCACATGAGGACACAGAGTGAAGGCACCAGCTATGAACCAGAAAGAGTTTCATCACTGGAAGGTGACTATTCTGATGTCTTGATCTTGGTCTTCCCAGCCTCCATCAAGAACTGTGAGTGAAAAGGTACTGTTGTTATAAGTTACTCAGTCCATGGTATTTTGTTCTAGCAGGCTGGATGGAGTAAAACAATAGATATTAATAATTGATTACAGAATACTTTCTTTTTTGGTTCATGAATGGTTCCAAGATTGATCACAGTGCCTATCAATCAGAATGTTAAGTGAAATGAAAAGTTTTGTTAACCCTGATCACAGGTTCTTCTTCTTGGTCTGATATAATCATGCTGCTTTGTATCCATCTTTTAGTGCTCTACCAATTTCTAGAGTTGACACAAGCATAAAATCAAAAGAAACATATGACATTGCCATACTGTTGAAGGACTTTTTCCCCACTTCTGACTATAGTAAATAATGCTGCTATGAACATTTTTGTACATGTCTTCTGGTATATATGTCCTGCATTATCTTGACCACTATATTAAAGAGTAAAATTACAGTGCCATAAAATATGGTCAACTTGAGTAGCTATATTTTCCCAAAGTAGTTGTAGTACCATCCATCCAATACCAATATGCAAGATTCCCATTGCCCCCTATATTTATTATTATTATCAGCATTTTAAAATCTAACCATTCTTTAGGAGATTTTAATTTATATTTTCCTGACTACTAATGAGGTTGGATATCTTTTCATATATACAATACGTGATGGATGTTTGCTGTCATTGTGTGTGTATGTATAGTGCCTTTTCAGTTTTCTTGTACTTTTTTTCTATTAGGCAGTCTACATCTTTCTTATTTCTGTGTGGAAGTTCTTTACATAATCTGGAAAGAGGGTCTTTGCTAGTCAAATGTGTTGAAAGCAGTTTTTTCCTCTTGATTTTTTTAACTGTTTTAATGGTGTATTTTGATGAACAGAAAAATTTCAGTTTTAATAAATAACCCCATTTATCTATCTTTTCTTTTTTTAAAAAATTTATTTATTTATTTGACACATAGAGGGAGAGAGAGAGAGAGGGAACAAGCAGGGGGAGGAGCAGAGGGAGAGGGAGAAGCAGGCTTCCCTCTGAGCCGGGAGGCCGCTGTGGGGCTTGATCCCAGGACCCTGGCAGATGCTTAACCAACTGAGTCACACACGTGTCCCTATCTATCTTTTCCTTATGTTAGTACATTTTTTCTTATTCAAGAAATTTTCACCTACTGGGGCATCTGGGTGGCTCAGTCGGTTTGATGTCTAATTCTTGAGTTCAGTTCTAGTCATGATCTCAGGGTCGTGGGGTTCAGCCCTGTGTCAGGAGGTGTGGAGCCCTTAAGATTCTCTCTTTTCCTCTCCTTCTGCCCCTCCTCTTCTGCATACTCTTTATTTTTCTCTCTTAAAAAAAAAAGAAAAAAGAAAATAAAATAAATTTTCACCTATAATGAGATTATAAATGTATTCTCCTCTATTCTACATGTTTTCTTATTTTACCTTTCACATTTAAATCTACAGTGCATATGAAAGGCCAAGTTTCTTTTTTTTTTTTTTCTACACATAGCCAATTTTCCCAATATCATTTGCTGAAAAGACCATATTCCCCATTATTCTATTCCCCACATGATGTAAATCACATGTCCATATATGCAGTGGTCTGTTAAAGAGATCTTGATTCTATTCATTTGCTCTACTTACATCTTTATAAGCCAATACAATGGTCTCTTAATTACTGTAGCTTTATAAGTTTGACATACAGTAGAGCAATACCAACCATTAATGGTTATTTACAGAGCAGATGACTGCAGAAAATACACAGAAGTTATGTCAGAAGAAGAATAAAGATTAGGAGATGCTGGGCTTCTCCTACATCCAGGGTTTAGTCCTTGGACCACTGCTCTTTTCTGCCTACGCTTACTGACTCAGTCATCTCATCTAGTCTCATGGTTTCAAATACCTACAAGCTAATGGCTCAAAAGTCTTTGTCTCCAGCCTGGGCCCTCCCCCCAAATCCTGGATCTAACTTTTCAACATCCTACTTGACATCTCTGCTTGAAAATATAATCAGCATCTCAAACTTAATATAACAAACACTGACCTCCTGAAATTGGCCTCCCGCCATTAAATTTGTGGCTCCTTCTGTAGTCATTCCCATCTCAGTTAAACAGTAATTCAATTCTTTCATACATCTTGATAGTATTTGTTTTGCTTTGTTTTGTTTTCCCTCTCTTTCTCATTCTTCACGTCTGTTGCTTCAACAAATTCTCTTGGTTCTGCATGAAATTATACCCAAAATTAACAATTTCTTACCACTCCACTCTTTACATCCTGGACACCATCTTTCCTTTCCTGAATTATTGCATTAGTCCCTCACTAGCCTCCTTGCTTCTACCCCTAGTTCTCCAAAATTTATCCTCTATCTAAAAAGTATAGTTATTTTCTTATTATTCTTCTTTACAAAAACACTTCATTAGGTTTCCACATCACTCAATGTAAAAACAAAACTACTATGTTGACAAATGACTTAAGTGATCTGGTTCTCTGATAAATATCTGATTTCATCTCTTAACATCTTCCCCTTCATTCTCTGTTTTAGTTACCTTGGTCTCAAACATGCCAGGCGTGCCTTCTCCTTAGTGCTTTCACATTAGCTCTTTCCCCTGCCTGGAACGTTATTGGATGTCTCCCTTCAGATATCCACATACCTGAATTTCTCATTTCTTTTAGTTCTTCACTATATATTACCTTCCCAGTGAGATCATCCCTGGACATCTTAACTAAAATTTCATAGTCTGACATCATTTCATGTTGCCTTTCCATCCTTTGTTTATCTTGTTTTTAGCACTTATTACTCTTTAATATGCTCTCTAAAATAATATGTTTTACCTATTTATATTCTTTAATTTGTGCCTCTTTGAAGCGATGTGATTCAAAGCCCAACTGGAGGAGCCTTAAAAGGGAGTAATAGCAGGGGAGCCATTATAACAGGTCAGGGAGATAGGATAAATGCCTACATTAGAGGGTTTATAAGTCTGACACATCAAGGAATCCATGACCTACTTCATAGACAGTGCTCCTGACATGGTATCTCCAAAAGGCTGGTCTGGGCAGATTTCTTAGAACTCTGCATTGAAGACTTTATGATTGAACAGTTTTGTGCTTTATAATAAGGTACGAACACTGACTGTTGAACATGGTTGGAAATGGAGCAGATGGGGAAGTGAAGAGGGGACAAGAAGAAAGAAATATGCATATCCAAATTCAATGTGCTTCCATTCATTTGGGCTTAAAAATTCTTGTCAATTTAAGAAATAGCTGGATATTGTATCTGTAGTTTTAGCTGTGATTTTGTCAACTCAAATCTAGCAAAACCTGATATCTGGTTGGCCCTATGAAAGGACCAGTAGTTAGTTAACTCCAAGATCATTTTCAGTAGAAGCAGTTACAGACTTTAAGAAAATAGGGATTCTATCCAACTACCACCACTCTTATGTGGTCTCCCAATAAGTGAGGTGATTTCCTAGATGAACAGACATTTATATTTCAAAGACTGTGTTTGTTATCAATTAAATTGCATCCCTCCAAAAAGTCTTCAGAGTACCCAGTACCTATGAACATGACTTTATTTGAGAATGGAGTCTTTGCAGATGAGCAAGTTAAGTTGAGGTTATTAGGGCAGACCCTAATTCAATATGACCAGTCTCCTCATAAAATGGAAATCTGGGCAGAAAGACACACACACACACACACACAAACACACACACGGAGAATACCATGTGAAGATAATGGCAGAGATCACAGTGATGCATCTACAAGCCAAAAAATGTCAAAGATTGCCACCAAACCATCAGAGTCTAGGCAAGATGCATGCGACAGATTTTTCCTCACAGCCCTCAGAAAGAGCCAGCCTTGCTAACATGTTGATCTCAGATTTCTATCTACCAGAACTGTGAGAAAATTTTGTTGTTTAAGCCACATAGTTTGTGATACTCTGTTATGGCAGCCCTAAGAAATTAGTATGGTCCCTATTCTTTTAAAAACAACTAGAGTATTAAGGAGGGCTCACACTGCATGGAGCACTGGGTTTTATATGCAAACAATCAATCATGGAACACTACATAAGTAACTAATGATGTACTATATGGTGATTAACATAACATAATAAAAAATTATAAAAAAAAAAACAACTAGAGTAAATAGGATTCAATTTATGACCACAAGAATTTTAATCTGGTAAGATTTCCAAGGCTGAAAGTGTCATTGTTTTGTTTTTTGCTTTTTTTTTTTTTTTAATTTGTTTGACAGACAGAGATCATAGGTAGGCAGAGAGGCGGGCAGAGAGAGAGGAGGAAGCAGGTTCCCTGCTGAGCAGAGAGCCTGATGCTAGGCTCGATTCCAGGACCCTGAGATCATGACCCTAGCCAAAGGCAGAGGCTTTAACCCACTGAGCCACTCAGGCGCCCTGAAAGTGTCATTGTTTAAATAGGCTTTCCAATTTAGAACAATTTTAGACTTTAAGAAAAATTAGAAATATACTACAGAGAATTACCACACACGCTTTCCTTTAACATCTTACACACTTGTTACAAGTAGTGAACCGATAGTGATACATTATTAATATTAAAGTGTACACTTTACTCAGATTTCCTTAGTTTTTGCCTAGTTCTATCCCATCCAGGATACTATGTTACATTTAGTTGTCATGTTTCCTTGTGCTTCTTTTGCTTGTGACAATTTCTGACTTTCCTTGTTTTTTGATGACTTTGATCATTTTGAGGAATATTGACCAGTGTTTTGTAGAACATCCCTCTTTTGGGATTTGGCTGATGTTTTTCTCATGATTAGACTGGGATGGTGTTTTGGGGAAGATCAAAGATGTAAGGTATCATTTTCATCACATCATACCACCAACATGACATCACTGCTGATGTTAACCTTGGTCCCCTAGCTGAAATAGTATTTGTAAGATTTCTCCACCTTCTCATATGATATCTTTGGAAAGAATTCACTATGCACAACACATACGTAAGTAATAGGAGTTATACTTCACCTCCTTTGGGATGAAGTATCTGCATAAATTATTTAGAATTCTTTTTGCAAAGATGTCTCTTCTCCCCAGTCAGCATTGTAATTATCTGGAATAGCTATTTCAATACCCTAAAAATAGAGAGATTTTACAAAGAGGATAACTTAAAAATTTTACTACATAATTTCTCTTTAAAACAAAGCAAAACAGTATTAGCAGGTTATCTGTAACAAAGCAAAGATCCTGGTCCAGATAAATAGAAATAATAATATATACTTTTTAAAGGTTTCCTCTGATCATATGGTCTTAATTTCTCTCCACTAAAGCATGTATTCTCAATTACCAAGAGCATGAAAATTTGTTCCCAATTACAAAGGAAATTTATTATTGGATCACAAGATGTTTTAACCTCTTCCATTGTCACGTGGAGGGTTTTATATCCTTGTTTAGAATACTGACCCAATACTGCCCTTTCTTCATGTTTATCCTCTTCCTGAGGTAGAATACAAGATAGAAAGGGAAAAGTCTTGGGTTTCCCCCCAATGGTAGACTTTTTCACTAACCGTAGGGTGTGCCTAAATCCAGATATTCCAGATATTGCCTTTAAAAATATGGAGTGCCACTCTTTATCTTCTTTCTCAGATAAAATTAATAAAGTGATATTATGGAAAAGCTCATGCTTCAAGGACTCCGATAGAGTATACTTAAAGCATCAATATTATTCATTCAGCAAACATTTACGGAAGGCTAGCCATGAAGGCACTATCTTTGGTTCTGAGGAAACAACAATGAGAAAGTGTAGTTTAGGTCTCTGTTTTGACATCGCTTTAAACTTGGGGGAGAAGACTGACATTGAGTAAGAATTAAGTTTGTTAGGTCACGTGATGAAATTAGGCTACTATGAGGGTATAAAATATGATGTACTAGTTAACTTATTGCAGAAAAACAGAAAATTATGTTTGAGCTAATTTCTTTACTGTGCATAGGAGTCAAGTAAACATTGGGAGTCAAGTTGGGAATGATTATCATACTAAGTGGTAAAGTCCTGTTTTGTTTGAGCATTAAGTTTCTCCTTGCTTTACAAGGGACAAAGAAACTTTAGAAAAGATCTCAAATAAGGCTAACACTAGAGTTTAGAATATTTTTGGAAAGCTGGTTGAAAACTTCTTGCACTGGAAATTTCTTATAAATAGTTAGGGACAACTCTTACCGGTAACTTCTCTTCAAAAAACTACATGGAAATAACAATACAATACATCTATAATTAATGTAGCGATTTACAATAACCAGGCTCTCATGCAAATGACAAAACTGTGTGGTTGTCAGGATGTTTGCTACAAAGGCAGAGAAGGTCTGAGACAGCAGTTTCCCCAGTCATAAAAGAATATTTTACCTTATTATTATGAATATATTAATCATTCCAGTGGTTTACTGTGAATATATTTTACCATATATAAGAAAACATCTGTTATGACTAGATGAATGATCAGCTGCAAAGTATATAGCAATTTTGTTTTTAAGGATTGCCTTATAAAGTACTCCCATTTCACCCTTCACTTCATTCAGGTGTACGTATAAAGATAGAGGAGGTCATTTCCAGAATTTTCTGGGTCAGTAGAAGCAAATTCTTGAATAAGTGAATAAGATAAAGTTTTTGCTTTTCTCAGAATTTGAGTATTTCTTTGAGATCACTCTATCCCATTTTCAAAAAGTTCTATCCTCCCTCTCTGGCCACTTTCTAGGACTATCTTCAAGGTTAATGTTTAAGTGTTAATTAAGCCTAGCCCTCTCTTAAGAGATAAGTAAGTAAACAGGCTAGCCCTGATAACAAGGTTTCTAAGACTGGACATAAAGGAATGTTAATGCATCTTTCATAATGGAAGCAATATATTTATAATCTTAGACTTAAAGTAACTATGGTTACAAAGTCTTGTGCTGCCTCACCTTTACTTGATTCCTTTCACTGGGGATCCACCTCTGTCATCAGGTGAGAGCCTCCTTGGCTAATGGCACTCAGTTTGTCACCATGAGAATACAAAGATTAAATACCTTATGAATAGAGAGTGCAAAAAATTTTTTTTATCTGCTTCAGAAGTGTCTTTTCAAGAAGGAAGACTTGGTCAACAAAGACAGAAGTGTTCTCTTTCTTTGGTTGGTTTAAACCAACTTTCTAAATAAAAAACATTGGTTTTCTATTGTACCTGAAGTGCTTTGTTATCAATGATTACCTAGCAAGCACGACAAGTCTTTAAACCTATAGCCCTAATGTTGACTAAGTGCTTCAAAAAGAATTTCTGCAGATACTTAGGGTGAAAGGGTCAAGAAGAAGATATTATCAGGATACAATTTAAAATACTGGATTTAGGATGAATTGCTGCAGACTTCTCCTCAAAGAGCGTTGAGAACATGGGAAATTGCTCAAAGCGTAACATTAGAAACAAAGCAGTACTCAAAATGTATATATAATCTATTTTATAAAACAATATAAAATGTATAAAGATGAAAGGAAGTACAAGAAAACATAAGTGTTGGTTATTTCGGGGTGAGATTATGGGCGATTTGCCTCAATAAACATATATTACTTTAAAAATCAGGAAAGGAACACTAAACTTTACATAATAATCTATTTTGAACAACAACTACATCTTTGGAAATTAAGAAAAAGACTCACTGTTAATCTGGGACACTTTTAGAGGAGGTTGGCAAATGATATCAGGAACTGTGAAAGCACTGATGATTTTTCACCTGGAGAAAAACAGAGTAATGAAACATGAAGGCTGGCTTCAACCATTTGAGACTGTCAGGTAGAGGAGTATCAAGACTTATTTTCCAAACACTGTAAGTTTATGGAGTCAACACTTGTCTTAATTCAAGAAAGACGTTTCTAGGAATCAGGGAAGAATCTGATATTCAAAAAGAAGTTGGATGGATGTCAGACATAGAGTTATAACATTGATGTTGAGTGAGAACTAAGACTATGGGATTCTTAAGGTCCTTTCAACCCTTGGATTCAATTACTTTAAACACTGCTAACATATTTGCCCAACACTCTAGGGGTCAGAAGTCTTAGTTTTTCTTTTCCTCTCTTCTTCTCTCTACCCCACTCTCACTTTCCTCCCATACTGACAGAAAACACTGGCTTGTCCAAGGAGTCACTGTGGCAAATTGCCCTTGAAAACAATGTTAAAGGAATAGTCAATTGCTCGTGATAACACATCTGATTTAAGTAGAATAGAAATTCCAGAATATAGTGACATGTCCAATTTACCAGAATGTGTCAATTATGCACCATGAATAATAGGATGGGGTTTCTTTGGCTTGGGGTTTACAGGGGCTTAAGAAAAATCACAAAGAATAAGATGGGTTCAGATATCTACAACTCATTTGATCACACATTTGGACATGACTCATATTATCCATTCTTTTCTCTATTTCATCAATTTCCATACTATGTTACTCAAATATGGTTCAAGAGATTCTGTAACCGAGCGTCCCAGACATCTCAGTCTCCTAGTTCATGATGTCCTTTGTGCAATCCCTAATGAGTGTGACATCCTCATCTCTTTTTGGCTTTAAGTAGGAAGCAAATATTTTTGTAATACCATTCTTCTAGGAACTAGAAAAAAAACAGTATTAGAATCCAAATACCAATAGCCATTTTTCTGCTGGTAAAAATAGCAGAATATAGATATTTAGAATTTGGGACAATTTAGATACTTAGAAAACTTATTTTACTCAAAGGCATAAATGCTAGAGGAATGATTTAGCCCTTTGGATAAGTTTCCTTGATAACTATTAAAAATGTGATTTATTTAACTTTTCTTCTGAAATATAAAGATATTCCATCGAAGGAAGAACTATAATTCTTTATCCTCTGTTTTCTGAGAAAGCCTCTAATTTCAAATATATCATGTTACACTTTCCATGGTCACTTCCCATATTCTAATTTTTTTATTTGGGAAGTACTGTCCTATACAAAACAGTACTTGTAAGAGACTGCAGACTCATTCTCTACAAATGAAAGATTAAAACAAGAGCAACTACCACAAGGGCTATTGCAGGCGTGTTAGGAGAACTAATACATGCAGAGTCTTAGGCAAGCACGAGGTTAGAATGCTGGTTTTATTATTATTGCTACTGGTATTGCTGTTAACAGACTTAGACTACATAGTCCATATTCCACTTACATTTACTGAGAATCTATATGGTGCAGGTATTGGACTCTATTTTTATTTAATCTTCTTCGTAACTTTGAGTCTTCATTTCACTTTGTCTTTCTCTGTTCAGATCAGAGATGGGCTAGATGGGTGATGGGAAATAAGGAGGCCTCTTGTTATGATGAGTGTTTTATCTAAGTGACAAGTCACTGATTTCTATGCCTGAACTAATATTATCCTGAACTAACTTGCTGGAATTTAAATAAAAACTAGAAACAAAAATAAACAAATAAATAAATACACAAACTCATTATGGGGATAAAAAAATAAATAAAAGATTAGGTATTTTGCTTGGATTACACGGCTGTTCTTTCCTGGGACAGACACATTAAACCACTGTCCAAGATACTCAATCAGTATAGGACAAATGTGAGATTCAAAGTCAGGTTTCTGCAGAGTTCTCCATCCTGCTGTGATGGGGAATGCTGTGACATATTAAGGAACGCAATATATCTCAGTAGTGACAAGACCCCAAACCTCTGATTATTTATGATGTTTTGGCCTTTACATGATGTACCTCATAATTAATTTTTATCAATAGAGTGTATGTCTTTTTTAACCATTAAAATCCTATGAATGAATTCTATTTCCAGTAATCCTATTAGTAGAAAAGGGAAGAAAAAAAAGCATTGGTAAAATGGAAGTCCAAAGATGGAAACAGAAAATGTTGGCCAAGAAAGAAAAAAGAACAGGTGTTTGCCCTTATCCCACACTCCTTCAGACTGGAATATGGAAGAGCAACACTCTTGTTTTTGTGGATATGTGCTAAAGAAAACAGAAAAATCCAGCCAAGTTGTGCAGTGTGTCTCACGAAGATATAGAGAAGTGTTTACATGTCTTGAATTGAGAATGGAATTCTAGTCCCCTTAGACTGTGAGCCAGATTTTAGAAGGCCAGTATAAGCCCACTTGCATTGTCTAATCATTCTCTCTTCTGGGAACATTCTAATTTAGCTAAAACCAGGATTTGGACTTTGCTAGCTATAAATTAAAAGAATGCTCCATGGCTATGCGGCTCTGCTCAAGAGTTTATTTGCTCTTACATTAAAAAATAACTCAAGTCACTCTCAATGGATTCATTAAAAACCTGATTTCTCCACTTTATAGCTATTTTGCCTGGCAGATGGGATCTGGTTTTTTCCTTATGCTGCATTTTTTTGAACTAAGTATATATGTTGGGATAGCAGTATACTCTCCCGCCAACAAAAAAGCCACATGCATATTTCAATAAAATCACATTATTTGGCATCTACTGTCCACATATGTTCATTTGGCTATTGCTAGTCCAAGCCAATTATAGCCACAAGGGAAATGAGTGTTTGAAATTTAAACAAGGAGCTCTAAATTTTGTAAGAGAGAAGAGGCCTCCTGACAGGTAGATCAGTCTCTAATTCATTTTTAATGCTGTTGACAATTCCATAAATCATTGTTTCTCTCCCATTATGTGCCAGCTTCTGTGCTGTAGAAGTTTGAAAAGAAAACTCTATACTTTTGGGTGGGGGGTTAGGGCTAGGTAAGACTCCTTGAATGATCTTTTAAAGATGAATAATTCACCATGTAGAGAATAAAGAGGATTTCAGACAGAGGGAATGGTATGGAAGTAAGGTGAGTTCAGGGGTAAAGCAATTCTTTGATGTAGCTGGAGGGCACATGGTGGAATGGATGTAGAAACCTAAGTGAGAAGGGGATGGTAGAGATGATGGATTCCTTGGTGCAAAGAGTCATCATCAAAAAATTTTAAAGGAGGAATGCAAGCTCTGTCTCTTTGAGTTCTGAGAAACAAAGAATTATGTTCCCACAAATGTGAAAGGAAAACCTGATGCCCATGTCCCAATGAAGAATTTCTGTAACAAACATCTGAAGTTAAATGGACAGATAAGTAGGGGCAAAAGTTACATGTAATACTGTCGTAAGCAAAGAACCAAAGCACGCAATATCTTAGATTAATCAAGGATTTTTTTTTTTTTTAGTTCTGATTTTTAAGGAACTGGTTGAGAATTGGGAGAGACTAAGGTACAGGTGAAATTAGAATGAATGTTTTTTGTATAAAGTCAAGGTCACTTATGGAGCATAAGGAATAACATGGAGGACATGGGGAAATGGAGAGGAGAAGTGAATTGGGGGAAATCGGAGGGGGAGACAAGCCATGAGAAACTGTGGACTTTGAGAAACAAACTAAGGGTTTTGTAGGGGAGGCGGGTGGGAGGATTGGGTGAGCCTGGTGGTGGGTATTAAGGAGGGCACGTATTGCATGGAGCACTGGGTGTGGTACATAAACAAAGAATGCTGGAACACTGAAAAGAAGTAAAATAAAATAAAATGGAAAAAAAAAAGTTAAGGTCACCCAGAGATAGCACTTGTTTATAAGTTTCTTATATACATGTCCATAAAAGTGCACACACACATTTCTTACACAACAAAATAATGGTGGTTGAAAATGTGACTAATTCTAGGTGTCCGAATCAGCATTGGAATATGAATGCACTCTTACTTGGATTTACCAAATTTTTATTGCCTTCCAACATTTTCAGTGATAGATTTTCAGTCTATATGGTAGTGTTTTAGAATTGCATGCATAGTATAGTCGAGAGCTTGGCTCCCAGAATCAGGCAAACCTGAGCTTTGTCCCACTTAGGAGCTACAGGACTTCTGCAAGTTATGAGTCCTTTCGGTATCAACTTTCTCAACTGTTAAAAAGAAAAATCAGATTCAGACTCATATCTGCTAAGTAATTATTGTGACAATTAATTAAATAGTTTGAAAAATACTTATTATAGTGTCTGGTGTATATTAAGACTGTGATAAATGTCATTAACCAATTATATAATTATTTTCATCTCCCAAAGATAAACACATGCAATCAGTTTGAGAAAAAAACATCTGTTAAACTACTTTATTTATACACTGAGCCTGTTGATTCACTGCATTTTGCTTGATTAAATAATGATGTGAAGGATAATAGCATCCATATAATACTTTAGTGTCTAAGAAGTATTCCCTCATGAGCAAATAATTTGGCATTAATCCTGTGAGTTAGAAAAGATAAAATATTCTTGTTGTTTACAAAGAAGAAAAAAAAAGAAATCAGGATAAAACATTCAAGAGAAATGTACCCATAAATGCAAGAATAGACAAGGAAATAAAGAGAAAAGCAAAGCCCTTCAAAAAGATTAATTTGTTGCAACAAATGCTTTTAAACAATCAGAGTGGAAAAGATATCATATCAGCCAGTGAACTGACATTGTCAAATCAAATGATGGGGAGCTAACAAATATAAGACTTATTTAACCTTTTTTTTTATAGCTAGCTACTGATTTCTTAAGTTTATATAATTCATTCCAAAAGAAATATTTCAGTTATGCTTATGACTTATCACAGAATATCATCACAAAAATATCATAAAAAATTTATTTAAAAGAAGCATGATTTTTATGATAACTAAGTTTGTAAAAAAATGTACATGATTGAATAAACTTCTAGGTTCTCTATTTTTAAAAATTATACATTTAGAGATTGAAATACAGCCACCATATTTACCTATTATTTAATTATTGATCCATAAACTATAATGTAGACTTTGAAGTGACAGTTCCCAAACTCTACAATGGTGTGCTGAGAATGTGGAGAAGGGTTCCATCATTTAGCTGAATGTGGCCAGTCATTTTTCAAGTTCACATTTAACTGGATTTTCGTTTTAACACTTTGATCACTGAAAGTTCTTTTTTAAAAAAATTGATGTCTGGGACACCTGGGTGGCTCAGTTGGTTAAGCACTGCTTTCAGCTCAGGTCATGATCCCGGGGTCCTGGAATCAAGTCCCACATCAGGCTCCCTGTAGAGCGGGGAGCCTGGTTCTCCCTGTTCAGCAAGGAGCCTGCTTCTCCCTCTGCCCCTCACCCTGGTCATTCTCTCTCTCTCTGTGTGACAAGTAAATAAATAAAAATCTTTTAAAAAATTGGTGTCCAAGAATTGTTGAGTTTGACAAAGTGAACATCCAACTATTATAAAATATATATTGATGAAATTTCTCAGAAAGGTGATTGTGCCTAAATTGAACAGTTAATAAATTTTTGTGGTCATATACATTCATGCTTAAGATTTTTGTTTTATATGCCTGTAATAGACTTATGGTTTTCTAAGTAGTACTGATTCCAGTTCATGTAATATAATTAAATGTTCCAGTAATTCATATTCCACTTTGACTACTATGGTAGTCAGTTGTTCTGCTTCATGATCAAGACTGGTAACTGTTGCTTTAGAAGTCCATACATATTCAGATCATTTTTATTGAATTATTCTAAATTTCTCTGAATTGCTGAGTAAGTAAATAAAAGGCAGTACACTTGGTTAGTTAAAGTTGTACACAATGGATGCATTGGTATCTCTGGGATTTCTATCCCAAATGTTCTCACAAGAATGAGAAAAAGAAAAAAGTTAATGCAACTTTTCCTTATGGCTAATGTGGGTCTATTAACCAATAATATTTCTTTGAGGTTGCTTTGGCATGTATCAGATAAATAAATAATAATTCATGTAAATTAATTCGTGTATATTAAATGAATAATTCATGTATATGTGGCTTAAATCTAGGAATTATACTTACCATTCATTACAGAAATGGAGAGCAGTAGCAAAATAAGATATTGTTAAAATTTGTAGGCTAAACAGCTTTTCAAAATATGAATTTGAATAATAAATGCTGAAGAAGATATAAAAACCTTTAAAATTCAAATCGTTTTTCTTGGAACACAGTGAAACCATTAGGACCATGAACCTCTCATTGGCTTCAATTCCTTATAACTGTATTTAACTACTGCTCTCACATATAGTGCGAATATCCAAAAAGGAGGACACTGCAAGTTTGGAAGTTCTGTGATACTACAGCTAGAATTCAAAGGGATTTCTGTAAAGCAAAGTTCACTGACCCTTCCAGCCAAAAGAATTTCTCATATGTCTCAGAAAAGGCAACAATCAAAAAGCAAAAGATGAAAGACATAAGACAAGAAAGTCTTCATTCTGTGATGTATTCACTGTGGGACCTACTTCTCGGAGC